AATAACAAAATGTGACTGAGAATATAATGAAACCAGATTAAAATTATTTAAATCTTAAAATGTTGGGCGAATAAAAAAGGTTTTTACCTGGCGCCAAAAAGAATGTATAAAATATAAAATGAAATATAAACAAAATATGGCACTTTCTTGACATTCTTGGAAAATGGATTTTAAAAGTTAAGTTAGTCTTTCTCTGCAGTGGCACCCTGACTATGGAATGTGCTCCCTAGAGAGGTCCGCCTGGCGCCATCATTATATTTTCAGTGCCAGGTCAAGACCTTTTTATTTAACCAATATTTCAAAGTTAATTAATTTTAATGGTATATTTATTTATTTAATTCATTTTAACCATGTCATTTTCTACTCAGTTGTGGTGTAGCCAATTTATTTATTTGTTTAGGATTGGTGGAGTTTTAATGTTTGTAAACCACCCAGAGAGCCCTCTGGGCTATTGGGGTGGTATATAAATTCAATAAATAAAATAAAAATAAATAAAATAATTAGTCACTGGATTTAATAGCACTTCCTTTGTGCTGAACTGTCAGGTGCAGGAGATTTCAAGGCAGAGCCCCGTAGATCACACATTGGTTCCCTGTGGCCCAAAGCAGCTTGGTAAAGGGTTAGCAGAGCAACACAAGCTAGAACTTGCCACAGAAACCCATGATCTTCCTTATCTGGAAAGTCAGGTAATGCTGGAGAGCCAGTCAGTCTGGAGCTACTGAGGGACAGATAGGCTCACAGACCCCTGACTTTTCTCTATATGGATGACTTGTCACTGGAAGAGGTCACCTCATCCTTTTCTGTAATGCCATTTGCCTCCTTCCAAGGGACCTGCCTTCCCTTGGTCTGAGAATCTTTCCAGAGCTCACTGCTAGACAAGTTCAAAATTTCCTCTGTTATAAGTTATTCTTACATTATTCCTAGAGTGTCCATGGAGGCTACATGTTATTGCACATGGGACAAAAATTTCCCAAGTCCTACCTTTTTGATCAGTGCACCAAACTAGAAATGACATGGGAGACCTCTAAACAAAAACCTCTTGTGTTGTGTTTTCCTTAGTCCTCACAAGTCACAGCACATGAGAGAAAGAACAGAAAAGGGAAGACATGGGAGAGTGAATAGAAAATGCCAATGCAGGTGTGAGTCTTTATCAAGCCTTTTAATACACGAACAGAGGGAAACGTGGCGGTCAGGCATTCCAGTTAACAGGGAGCAAGGTGAGAGTAACAGGACAGCCAGAGAGCAGTAGGTCTTTATGGAGAGTAAGACACCAGAAGAACAAAGATGGTGTGAAATCATGGAGAGGAACAGCAAAACACAGACGTAGCTGTAAGTACAAGAAAGTACAAGAAAATAGAGACATTGGAATTTTTAAATAAGGAGAAGGCAGAGGGAGTGAATGTACAGAATATAAAGGAGATGTAACATGGTCACAGAGTGAGAAAAGTCAAAGAACAGGATAGTGGAAAAAGCTTTGACAGGCAAGAATGCTGAGCAGAAGAATCATTGCAAGATTGTTCAGGGCCACACAAAAACCAGGCTTTCCTACTCTGGCTCCTCCAGATGTTTTGGATTTCAAGTCCCATTGGCTCCAGATGGGACAGCCAATGGTCAAAAATGCTGGAAGCTGTATTCACAACATGTGGAATGCACCATTTTGGGAAAGGCATAGTTTGTGAAATAAGCTAATTTCAACCAGTTTACCTGGGCCAGACAACAAACTAACTAGCTTGCTTTTTCCAGATCCTCCTCCACTCCCCACAGATCTCTTTGTAAAACATGGCATTGCAGTAACAATTCCTCAGTCCTGGGGCAAGATAGTGCTCTCAGTGACATGGCATGCATTTTTAATTGCATTTTATTATTGCATGGCTTGCAATTTCACAAGAGTTCTTAAAGAGCTCTAGAATGGATACTATCTGGACCCGCAGATTAATGAACTTTCAATTGGCCAATAAGTCTTCTCCGGAAGGTTTGTGATTTATTACCTCAGTCTCATCTAAACAGATGTGGCTGTTGAGTTAGGTTTGGAAGCTTCCCTGAATGAGGCATTTATTGTGCACTTGGGATCCCTTTCTCACCTCACAAAAGCTTTTTTGGGTTTTTTTTTTTTTTGAGGGGGAAGGGGGCTTTTCATGACAGTGTCCTCTTTCAGAGCCCCTCATGTGTTTTCCTGCCTTTTCACTTTTTTTTTTTTTTTAAAAAAGAAAAAGCCCATTAGTAAATTTTAACTCATGACAAACTGGAACAAAAACCTGGTGAACTGGCGTGAACCTTTCCTGCAGCTATATGTCATTTTGTGGTTAGTCAATATAATTCATAGAAAGGCAGATAAGTACAAGCCCCGGGGGAGAAAGGTTTTGGAAAGGATGCATTTGTCCTCCCACAATGAAAATGGAAGAAGCAGCCACAATAAAACTGGGAGTTAAACCCCTCATGTACAGAAGCCCTGGAAGGTGGTGCTTATGTTCCTGTTTCTAAAATACAGATTATTCCCTGAAGGAAAACAAAATGGGGCTTCTGTTAAAGCCTTTTGGTACTACATATTGCACAGATATGACTGCTGAGTTTGGTTGGTTTTGGTACCTCACTCCTAGAAGCTCTGGTTCATCCTCCCAGAGCCTGAATGCTGCTTATGTGGAAATACTGTGTGTTGCTGAATAAGCGCTGCCCCGTGAACTCGTGCAACTGGGTTTACTGAGAAGTTTGTGTTCCATGGTTTTTTCCCCTAGTATCCAGATTAACGTCCAGAATGTTTTCTGAGGATTTTTTTCAGGGTACCATCTATTTCCTTGTGAATGGCTATTTGGTTGCGTTGGTTCACATAGAGATTGGCATTTCGAACTGCCCATCCAGAACTAAGTATTATACCCCAAACCAGAAGTAGAATGCAGATTCTGGATAATTATTGTTGCGTATTGCATCTCACCCATTCCAGTTTCTAAAATGGGTAAATTAGCTCACATTCAATTTGGCATTCTAGGCCAGCAGTGCAGCCCTACCATGCAATTTATGTGTGACTGGTGCATTGGCTTGGTCTGGCTTACTTAGCCTTTCTGAATCATTTCCCAAAATACAGGCTATTGCCTGGAATGAGTATCATGGTTTACTGTGGTCATTTAGAAGCTTGTCACATCCCTCCCATGTTGCTGTGTGTGCTTGGTGAAAGTGGTTGGCCTGGCTCACTTGGAAGTTGCCACTCCAGTTTCTGGCAAGATGGTCTGAGTTGGGAGTGGGGGTGCTGCACTGAGGTGGTTCTGCTCCTACTTTGATGTCCGACTCCAGAAGCTGGTGCTTGGGGAATATTCTCCAGTATGGGGTTATCCCAGTGTGGGTCTTGTCCTGCATGCTACATCAACATTTACATGAAACCACTGGAGTTGTAGAGTGCATTAGCATCAGTTTGCTGATTGCATGCTGATCTCTTTCTCATTTTTATCTTCTGCAGCCGAGGCTGTAGACGTACTAAACTGGTGCCTGGCTGCAAAAATGAACTGCATCAGAGATACCTGTCATGAATCAGCACTTCTCTCCCTCAACCACTCTCCTCTTCCCTTCCCAGTTTCCCTTCCCAATAAAAAAACCCAGTTTTTTATTATGTTAAAGCTGACCATGGTTTACTTTGTAATACAGAGGGTATAATATAAAACTTGTTAGCAAGAGGCAACTATCAAGTTAACAAGCCTCCTACTTGTGGATTTTGGTTCGTCCCAAGTCAGAAGTTGATTCCAACCTGAATTCCCCTCCTTCCTTCCCCACCAAATAGAGTTGGCTCCACTGCCAAGCTTTGAGCTGCTTGTGGGTCAGATGGAGGGACCGCTGGGCAATATTTGATTGGCTCCCTTGTTTGATCTGATTTCAAACTACCTGGCTGATTAGGATGTGAGAGCAATCCATCTGGGGATGGATTCCCTGGGCTTGACTCCCTGGTCTTTGGTCCACTTTGCCAAGCTCCTGATCAGCACTTACCAGGGATCAAACCCATTCACTGTGCAAGCAGCACCCCTCTCCAGAGCAGGAACAGTTGTTGTGCCACTGGCTGACAATGAGCAGAGAGCCTTTCTTCACTGGTAAAAGTTGCAACATATCAGCACACCTCTCTGGAGCTGAGGGGCAAGGATTTCCAGCTCTGAGGGCATGATGTCCCAGTGGGAAAGTAAACTATGACATCTTTTTGCAGCTGTAGCACTTTCTCCAACTCTGCTGTTAATAGCATGCGACTATTCTCCCTGCAGAAATTGAAGTTTTTTTCCTTTTCTTTTTAAAGGAGGATGTGTATATTTTGCATACTGAAAGAGTCCGGCTGGATTAGAACAAAGATGTATCTAGTTCAGCCTTTTCCAACCAGATGCCCTTCAACTCCCTTCAAGCTCAGCCAGCATGGTCAAGAACGCTGGAAATTATACTACAAAATATCTGGAGGGCATCAGTTCAGGGAAGGCTGGGCCAATTCAGCAAAATGTCTCATGTGTGTGTACAAGCTGTTCTTAAAACCAGCAGCTCTACTCTGATTCTGCCCAGGCTCTGGCACTTAGAGGTATACTGCCTATGGGCTTGAGGGTTCCACTTTATCAAGGCCATTGTGAGAACCATTCTCTCTGGGCCTTAGCCATTAGCCAACAGCTAACACCAATCACTAGGCCTTATTGATCAGGTCTTAGAATATGGTGCGAACAGTCAGGGTGGGGAGATTTTTTCTGCCCCTGCATGATGCAGTAAAAATCTATCCAATGTTCTACAATGCAGCAGTCTGTATTTGCAGTCAGAGAAACCCCACACACGGTAGACTTACAACATTTATTCTTCAGGGACAAAACAGCATTTGTTTTTACAAGTACAAAGGAGTGTGGAGAGTCTGCAAACAGCAGACCCACGACATGCGAAATGCGGTAGGTACACTGCTCAGCTTGGCTCAGGTGTGCAGGAGGTCACAGCAGAGGCATCAGCTACATGCTAATTTCACTAGGCTGCAGAAAATGGGGCCATGCTAGCTGCGGACCTCAGATGGTGCAGTTAACTTCCCCAAAACGCCTGCACTTCATAACCTTCAGATAGGTCTCTACCTTGTGCAGGTCCTTCTTGAAGCAAGAGAGCAGGCCATAGTTTTTCAGCAAAGAGCCTTCATTCCTGAGGTTGCCATCAAATTTTTCATAGGTTGGCCTGAGAAGCTGAACACCACGGGAGCTCCCATCCTCCAGCTCCTGTGAAAATCCATTGTTGCAAATGGTAAGCCTACTGGTTTGGTTTGGTTTGGTTTCTTTAAAGTTGTTTATTTTGGTGCTCCTGCTTCTTAAAAAAGGTATATCTAAATTGGTATATATGTTATAAGTGTGCATATATTTTCAGTCCTCACTCTATTCAGTCATTCCTCTTCAAACAGTTAATAACTGCACAAAAGACTGAACAGAGCCTCAACTTTTGTAGATTCTGGAGGCCACTGATTATGAGGTCCTTGTTGCAGGGCATTGTTCTTACACTTTTCTTTTAATTTACAAACCAGCCTACTTCTCCATAGCCAGGGGAGCTCTGAAGATGCAGGCACTACTGCCTTCGTTTTAGATGACCCATTTTTCTAGCTAACAGGCACTGAAGCAGGCAAGGTCAGTGTAACGAAGGTGGAACCTGTGGAGCGTGCCTGCTGTACCAGTCAGCTGTGCCCTTGCTGCAATTTTATTCCCCCTCCTACATGTTTTCCACTTATCACCTCCCACAACAGTCACCCACTGAGCCTGCTGATTGGGCTGGTTTGAGGTTTCCCACCTGCTCAAGAGTTTATTTTCCTATAGTTTTTCGTATTTATTTTACTTCTGCAAACCTGAGGATTCCCGCAAGTCAGCTGATCGCTCCCTCTTGCCTGTGGTGACAATACTCATGCTTGAGCACTGCAGCTATTGAGAGGGATTAGATCAGAGTGGAGGTCCCATATTTAGGAATGCACAGCCCATAATCATTGTGATGACGGCAGAAAGCAATTGTTTTGCAGGCTTAGCATTCTGGCAGCCAGATCAAGTCTTTGTGAGCAAAGCACGTGGTGATAGCCATCCCTAGGATAGATGTGAAGCATCTGGTGACCAAACATGGCGACTGCGGTTGTGCTGCCATAGCCAGGAGCCACCAACAGACCGAACTTGCTAATATTTCATGTCATAAACCATAAAGCGTGGTTTATAGGTGTTGCCATCACAGTTTCTGGGAGAAGTCTTTGCTTTTGATTTGCCTTCAGCATACTGCCCTGCATTTCCATCTGAGACCAAATTTTGTATTTTGAGAATGGATACTCTCCCATTTTGATCTCATGCCCTCATCTGTGATCATAAAATCCTTTCACATTCTTTCCTTCCCACATTGCCCACTTCACCCTTCTAAAGCTAAAAACTTCCAACTTCATAAGCATTTCTTCATTAGCAAGATGATTTCCCTACATTATCATTTGTTGCTGGGGTGGAGGAAGCCTTCTCCAGTCCATCAAAATTTTTTCAGGTGAGCGACCAGTACTGCGACGGTGCTCCAAGAGATCTATGGGCTATTGAATCCTTTCTGCTTTATTAAGGGAGAGCTTACCCGCATGAGAGCCTGGATCCCTTCCTCCAGGTCCTGGAGCTTTTCATAGACTCTGTCTGAGGTTCCAAGGGCTAGGCTGTTACTGAACATCCTGCTTAGGTACCGGACAGGACCTAGCCATGATTGAATGAGGGTCAGTGAGAACCTGAGCAGCTCCATGTCCTGGAATGGAAAATAAACAAAGAAACTAAAATGGGGGGGAGCCATAATAAGTCATTCCTATTTTCCAACATCATGTTTAAGACCAAGGGCACTCTCTGTGCACCTGTGTGCAAATGTCTGAAAATGCACAGACATGTTCAGGAGAGCAGCCCCACAACTTTGGAACAAGTCTCTTCCCAGACACTCGGTTGTTTTTATTTGAACTGGCTCTTGCTGCCCAGGGATAGGAATTTGTCATAGAATCATAGAATAGTAGAGTTGGAAGGCACCATGAAGGCCATCGGGTCCAACCCTCTGCTGGTGCAGGACACCAATTTACACCAACCCACTCAAATAAAATATAACCATTATCTACTCCAGGAAAAAAACCCTTGCAAAATCAAATTGATATTGATATGTTGCAAGACCTGCACTTTGATGACCACTGAACTGTTTGAAGCTCAAATACAAATTGAGTAAGAAAATTAAGTGACAGCCACTTTTTACTTAATTTGATATGATCTATCTGGTACAACTAGATAAGATGTTGGGAAACCTTTGATAGGTCACCATGGAAGAGGGGAGATTAGCAAGAAAACTGTGTGTGTGTGTGGGGGGGGGAAGGTTGGTTTAAGAAGAAAGCACCACAGTCCCAATCAAACAATTATTTAAACCTATTTTTTTTTTTTTTTTTAAAGGAGAGATTTGTCCATGGATCCATGCCAGTGGGGGAATGTGGCAACTTTAGTCCAGCCTATCTGGAAAGTGCCAGGTGGGGAAAGCTGTTGTAAAGAATGTGTTGCAGCTAGCACTGCGTTCTGGCCTTTGTTTGAGAGGAGAGCTGGACAGGCTGATTCTCTGTTCCTATGTTCCTTGTGCCCTTGGAATTGCTGAAAAATACCCTGGTTCTTTGGCTCTGGAGTCCATTTTATTATTATTATTATTATTATTATTATTATTATTATTATAACATTTCTATGCCGCCCCTTGCCGAAACCTCGGGGCGGCTTACAACATGATAAAATACATTGAAATACAATAGTACATAATAAATTACCATTAAATATAAAAATACAAAAAATACATTGATTTACAAATATAAAATTAAAATTATCAGTATAAAATAAAAATATAGGGGGAGAAAGAGAAGGAAGAAGAAGTTGCCCTGGCCAGTTCATATGTTTTAACAATTGAAATGATGTTTAAATAAAAAGGTCTTTACCTGGCGCCAAAAAACCAGTAACGACGGTGCCAGGCGGACCTCTTTGGGGAGTGAATTCCATAGGTTGGGCGCCACCGCAGAGAAAGCCCTCCTCCGGGTACTTACTCTCCTAATTTCTTTCATGGAGGGTTCCCGGAGAAGGGACTCTCCCGCAGATCTCAAAGGGTGGTCGGGCATATACGGACGTAAGCGCTCGTTCAGGTAGCCAGGACCCAAGCCGTTTAGGGCTTTATAGGCCATAATCAACACCTTGAATTGGGCCCGGGCTTCAATGGGAAGCCAGTGAAGCTGACGGAGGACTGGAGTCATGTGAGCATAACGCCCCATCCCCGTCAGCAACCTGGCAGCTCTATTTTGCACCAATTTATTCTGGAAGGCAAGGCAAGAATAGCTGCCAGAAACAATATCTAGGCTCTGGAAAGTAGCCCCTCTATGACAGAAAGTCCTGTGAATGCTCTCCAGTTATTCTGCCATCATGAAACCTCTGAAGTGGCTAGTTGCCCCCCTGGTAGGGAAAATGACCCAATCTGGAAGAGTCTGCACCCATCTGTCAAGGCAGCTCAGGTTTTAGTCTAAGCATCCTTAACTACTCCTTTGTAATAAATAGTGGGGCTAGATTACCCTGTACAGCTAGGCAAGTGTAAACTTAACAAAAAGGTAGGAAGCCTCCCTGCACCTTCTGTTCTTAAGTTGCAACCAACCCACTAACTCCCTTAATTTTCACCTACCCGGGATCCAGACCCTGAACAATCATGCGCCTGGATTCTTGTGGCAGAGTGGTCTAAGTGTCTTGGGTCTGGGCGGTCACAGCATCATAGTATTATAGAAATGGAAGTGGCCTGCAAGGCCATCAAGTCAAGCCCCCTGCTCAGAGCAGGACTCCAGTCAAAGCATCCCTGACCTGTCCAACCACCTCTTGAATGTCTCCAGCGTGGGAGAGCCCACAACCTCCCTAGGTAATTGATTCCACTGCTGTCCTGCTTTAACAGTCTGGAAGTTTTCCTGATGACCAGCTGGAATCTCGCTTCCCTTAACTTCAGCCCATTAGATCCTGGCTCTCCTATGTGTTACAGCCTTTCAAGTATTTGGAAAGTACCATTATATCAGCTCTTAGTCTTCTTTTCTTGAGGATAAATATGAGAAACACGAGTCCTTTCAATCTCTCCTCACAGGGCTTTGTTTCAGTTCCCCTGATCATCTTTGCTGTCCTGCTCTAAACTTTTCCCACTATGTCTGCATTGTTCTTGCAACAAGATGCCCAGAAATGGACTCAGTACTCAAGATGGAGCCTAACTAGTACCTATTAGAGGGGAGCCAATTCCTCACATTATTTGGAAGCCATACTTCTATTAATGCAGATTAATAGAAAAATGAGACCTGGCAAAACATGTTCTTGATGAATCCATACTGACTTCCAGTAATTACTCCATTGTCTTCAAGGTCTTTAACAGAATGACTTCTTTATTATCTGGCTCCAGAATTTTCCCAGGGATTGATGCCAGACTAAATGGGCTGTAGTTCCCAGAATCCTCCTTTTTGCCCCTTTTGAAGACAGGGGCAACATTAGTCCTCCTCTAATCATCTGGCACTTCCCTGCCCTCCATGATTTCTCAGAGAGAATAGACAGTGGTTCTGAGCATTCTTCTGCCAGTTCCTTTATTACTCGAGGATGCAGCTCATCAGGCCCCGGAGAGCTGAACTCAAAGAATGTTGCTCGATCATTTGTTTATTAATCTCAACCCTGACCCTCTGGTTTGTATGCAATTTCTGCCAGGGTGGACCATAAACCTGCTTTTGGGAAAAGACTGAATCAAGCACTTTAGCCTTTTCTTTGTCATCTTTTATCAGTTTGCCCCCAACCCCCACTGAGAAGTTGAGCCACCACTTCTTTCCTCAGTCTTTTTCCGTGAACATAGCTGAAAAGACCCCCCTCACCTTTTGCTTTGCTTTGCTTTCACCGTCCCTTGCTAGCTTCAGCTCATTCTCAGCTTTAGCCTTCCTGATATCGTTCCTGCACTTCCATGCCACCCATCTGTGCTCTTCTTTTGTCACTTCGCCTTCCTTCCCGTATCTGCCCTTTTTTGTTTTTAGCTCCATTCCGAGCTTTTTGTAGCACCACATTGCTTTCTTCTCTTTTCGCTATCTTTTGTTCTGGTTGAAATTGTTTGTAATTGTGTCTTTAAAATGTCCATTTTTAAAAACTTCTACCCATCTTGGACTCATTTTTTCCTTAGGGTTGCTTACCATGGGACCTTATTTATAATTTTCCTGAGCTCATTAAAGCCAGTTTCCCCAAAATCCAGAATATGTGTATGGCTACACTCCATATTTGCATCAAGAACTCAAGAATGCTGTGGCCACTTTCCCCCATAGTTCCCATGACTTCTACTTTGTCCACTAAGTCATCCCTGTTAATCAGTATTAAGTTCAGGGTGGGTGACCCTCCAGTTCCTTCCTCCATTTTCTGTAGAAGAAAGCTATTCGCCATGCATGGCAAGAATTTCTTGGAGGGACCATTTTTTGGCAGAATTTGTGTCTCCACAAACTTTCTTGTCCCAGAGAGATGTGTTTGCCCCACATCCCCAAAGAAAGAGGGCTTTACCCCATGCTAAGGCACCCATTGTATATAAAATCTGCTCTGTGCATAGCACAAGGCTGCCTGTTCCTTGAGCTCTTCCAGTGCTCGGTGCACGAGTTGCTGCTGAGAAGGAGCAGGGGCTGGCACTGGCTGTCTGGTTCAGAGTGCGGAGCCATGTCAGCTGGTGCTTCCACAGTGAGCAGAGGACTTTCCTTCAATGGGCACTGCTGGGAGGCAGACAAATGTCCCAGAAGTGGCAATTAGATGGCTGGCTGATGGGAGAGGTACACACCTCACACTCAGATGGGGGCACAGAAAAATGAGGGAGTTCTGATGTACCCTGCCAAGGGTTTGAGGGAAGCTGCAAATATAAATGTGGGGGGAAATGGATGCTGCTTTTAGAGGCTTTCCCAAACCTGCTGCCTTCCAGGTGCTTGGGACTATAATTTGCCATGCTAGGTGGGACTGATGGGAATTGGAGCCCAACAATGTAAGTAGTATCTCCCCCTGCAAAGTTCCAGGGAGTAGATTCAGGAAATGGGAATTTGTACACGTAAAACACAAGGTTCCTCATGCTGGACATAAGTAGAGCTATTTCATGAAACTAGGCAACATAGGATACAACTTACTGTTTTCTGCTGGGCATCATCCTTCCCTGTAGGTGCAGGAATAGTTTCGGAGTAACAGAATGCAGATTGAGAGTTCTTGTTGGAGTGTCGTTGGTCTTCTGGGATGTAGGAACGTTCCTGTACAAATTCCACAAAATGCCATGAGAAATCCATATGTGCATCTCTAGAGTTAGTCAAGTCAATTTTTATTTGCACTAACTGTAAGCCTTGACATAAAAAATATCAATGTTAACAAATATAAAATAAAAACAGCTAGCATGTAAAAAGTTAAAATTGACTCAAAACATGCCACAATTTATGTTAGTAGCAATACCACAATTATTGGATACTTCTTTATACATGGCCTCTCAGGACCTGTAGGACCTCATCTCCACAGTTAATGCATGAGGGAAAAAAATGCCAGTGAATGAGCCTGGACACATCTTCTTGTGCCTGCAACTAGGAAGGGGACATGCTCTACTGGGATGCTGGACTAGACATTCTGCACTCCAGACAGGGGAGGAGGCTCTGGAAATGCTGGAGGAGTGGACTGCTTGCAGTTTTAGAACCAGCTACGAGCTTCCCCAGCCTTTGTCCAGCAGCTCATGGCCTCAGCTGAGCTGAGTACATCAAGTACAGAATGCAGTCGCCTGGTTCTTGGCAATCCAAGCAGCCTCCTGGAGCATCTAAGCAGCCCCACTGCTGGATCACAGGAAGAACTTGGCCTGGACGCTCTGCATCCCTGGACATGGTCACTGTTGAGCACCCTCTGTGTTGCAGAATTAATACAGATCTGTAATATATTCTGGATCTGAGAGCAATGAAACAACAGAAGAGGCAGGTTGACTGCAGATGGAAGAAAACTCTTAGTGGATGATATTGAACTCTGGTGTGTGCCTACAATACAGCATATTTAGAGGCAGTGAGGATGACCAAGAAACAAAGAAATCTCACTGTCTGTTCAGTCTTCCATTTAGTGTTATCTGAGAGTCTGTTACATGTTACCCCAAAAACATCTTAGACTTATCTGAGGACCACAATAATATTTACTGGGCACTTTAAATGAAGACTGTCTTGCATCTGCCACGACTTATACTCCAGAGCTAGAGTATTTTAATCATGGGCGGTAACCAGAACACAGGCTGGTCCAGTTTTAATGGATGAGCTGCAGTTGATTCAGCTTAAGGATGCTGACAAAGTGCCAGGACAGGTTGTTGTGTCCACCTTTGTACCAGATCTATGTTCCTCCTGGGGCCAACAAGGAAGGAACAATTTGCAGGGACAGAGAGGTGACTAATGCCTCCTTGTGAGAGGAAGTGGTTCCATCCCACCTGGAGAGATGGTGGTGAAACCATTCCTGAAGGAATCCGCCATTGACCCTAACTTTAGGCCAGTAGCAAAAGGTTCTTGAGCAGGTGGTTGGCAACCAACTCCAAGATGGATTACCTGGATCCATTTCAGTAGGGGTTCAGGCCAGATTTTGGTGAGAAAATAGCCTTAGTTGCCCTACATGATGACCTATGTTAAGAGAGAGATGGGGGAGTGACTTTGTTGATACTCCTGGACCTCCTGGTGACTTTCAATAGCATCAATTTTATTTAATTATTTATTTATTAAAACATTTCTATGCCGCCCCTTGCTGAAGCCTCGGGGCGGCTCACAACACAAAATAAAATACAATAAAATACAAAAATAACAATATAAAATTAACAATATAAAATAAATAACAATATAAAAGAAGTCACCCTGGCCAGATAAATAAGCAAATATTGTTAACAATGAAAATGACGCTTAAATAAAAAGGTCTTCGCCTGGTGCCGAAAAACAAATAACAACGGTGCCAGGCGGACCTCTCTGGGGAGCGCATTCCATAGATTGGGCGCCACCGCAGAGAAAGCCCTCCTCCGAGTACCTACCCTCCTAATTTCTTTCACGGAGGGTTCCCGGAGAAGGGCCTCTCCCGCAGATCTCAATTAAGGCCTCCTTCTGGGGTGGCGCTCTGAGTTGCGGGGGAGGTCAATGCATTACAGTGGTTAAGCTCCTACTTGGAGGGCCGTCTTCAGTAAGTAGTGCTTGGAGAATATTGTTCAGCCCTATGGATTCTGCAGCATGGAGTTCCTTGATTTGTTCAGATCTGTTCCTTGGAGGGGAATGCTGTTCAATATCTACATGAAACTGCTGAGTGGTCTATATAATCTAGAGGTCAGGAATGTGTTGCCGTCAGTGTGCTGTGACATACAGCTCTTTCCCCTTAAATCCTAATTAGGTGAAGTTGTGAATATGCTAAATTGTGACAAAGCTGTGATAATAGACAGAATGAGGGCTAACAAACTGAAGCTTGGTCCTGAGAAGACTAACCTGTTGTTCGTGGGTGGGCCCCCTGAACAGATGGAGCATGCGCCATCTGTTGTGGATAGTTACATACCCCCTGAAGGAGCAGGTTCATAGCTTGTGAGTGCTCCTTGATTTCTCTTTGTCATTTGAAGTTCAGCTTCAACTGACCAGCTGAAAGAAGCAGCCCATGTGACTAATGGCATGAAAAAATCAATATTACTACATATTCCTCCTCCTTATTGAATAGCACACAATGGCCCAGAAGGATTCTCCAGTTGTAGTGACCTGCAAAGGGTGTGTACCATTTGTGTTCCTCCCTGAGACTAACATGATATATACCTGCAATAAATGTAAGCTGGTTGCACTAGTCAGCCAAGTCAAGCCAGTTCACAATTGCAAGGTGTAGTGATATAAATTAAAGGGATGGTGGTTCCAAACAATGTGCCATTACTCACAAATTCCTTGAATGTGTCTGTTGCAAGCAGGTGAAGATGCTGGGCTCTGAGTACTGCATTAGCAAACAGGCTGGAGAGGGGCATGGTAGGAAAGGCTGTTGTTTCCTCAGACCACTGGAGGGCCAAGATAAACACAGCAAGGAGGAAAAGAGGAGGCCGAGATCCTGCAAAAGAAGGCAAAAGAGGGGTGCTTCTGAGATCAAAGCAAAGTTCTTTACAAGGCCTTATCTCTGACTGAGTTAATTAACAGTGGAATATCATACTCAGATGGAAGCCCCATGGGGTTCAATGGGACTTATGCACTGGAAAGTACAGGATTGCAACATCAAGCAAGAGAAGTAGCTACAGCTCCTTTTCAATTTGGTATATTTTGCTAAGCCCAACCAGTTTTTGGATACAGTTGCTGCCAGCTGTATCCATGGTACAAGAAAGATGGGTGCCACCAGCTTCAGGAAGGCTGTTCTGAGCAGAACTCAAGGAAAGACTTGTTCTCCTCTTTTAAAAGGATTCAGCTCCTTTTCACTTGAAAAAAGCTCAAGTCCACCAAGTTTGAGCTGTTGTATTGTTCAGGTGTAACATACACCTGTGTATGTATGTATGTATAACATTTTAACCAAATATAATCAGTTTTTACAAGGCCTCAGCAAACTTGTGGTTTAATGAAACTAATTGGGTGTGGTTTGAACTCTTTTCTGGTATCGGCATTCCCATTATGTCACTGTGATTTGCCTAAGAATGAAATCATGCAACCACCTTTTTGAAGCATTTTGGCTTTTTCTCAGATATGCTAAATAAAGGATGGAGAGCACTTAAGCCTCATGGACTGCCTTCAGAGAATGGGTATGGCATATAACCAGTCTTTGACTCGGGGTGGGGGGGGGATCCACACTAGGCATTTATACAGGCATTTTAATGCCTGATTCTCTGGCATGCACTGGAGCTCCTTACTCCACATATTCCCACCTGTTGTCTAAGATTTTTGACTGGGGCTTTCCTAAGAGTTTCTCTCCCCAAGGAGGTTAAAGTCGAGGCTACAAGGAGGAGGATCTTTCTTGTGGTGGCACCCCAATTATGGAATGCTCTACTGCTGGAGATTTGCCAGGCACCTGCCTTACTGCATTTTGGGCGCCTGGCAAAAACTTTGCTTTTCTGGCACCTCTTTGGCCTAAATCAACATGTGGGCTTTTAATTATATTAATGTATGTTTTATTTTATTTAATCATATTATTGTGATTTTATTCTGATATTTTACTTGTATAGTTTTACTAATGGTATTTGTTGATTTTATATTGTAACGGCCACCCAGAAAGCATGATGCTAGTAGGCAGCTTTTAAACAAATTTAATAATAATAGTAATAATATTAATAATAATGCTCACTCAACCTATCCTTTAGGAAAGAAGCAAAGTTCCTTTCTGCCTCCTAAAGTTAATAAGAGCTGTTATGTAAATGCAGTGCTGCTCACCCCTGGCCACCCCGACCTTTGAAAAAATAAAGTTTGTTGTGTCTTTTCAAGGCCTGGACCTCTTGTTCAAGAAACAGCTAGCTGAAGTGCATGATATCATAATCATAGAATATCAGAGTTGTTGCAGGGTACTAGTTTACACCATCCCACCCAGATGGCTGTCCAGTTGCTTTTTAAAAGTCTCCTGTATGGTCTCTAGGCAACTGGTTCTACTGTCATATTGCTCTGACAGTGAGGAAACTTTTCTGGTTTGCCTCAGCTTGGGCTGATCATTCCGTGTCCTACACTCTGCTATGACTGAGAAGCTGTCTTGTCCTTCCTCTTTGTGACAATCTGTCAGGTATTTATAAAGTGGTATCATGTCCCCTCTCAGTCTTCTCTTTTCAAGGCTTGAACATACCCAGTTCTCTCAGCCTTTCCTCATAGGACAATGTTTCCAAACCCTGAATCATTTTTGTTGCCCTCTGCACCTTTTCTATTTTTTCTGTCTCTTTTTAAAATCTTGGTGCCTAAAACTGGAAGCCTGACTAGTGAAGTATAGAGGGGAACTATTACTTCTTGTGATTTGGAAGTAATACTTCTATTAATGCGTCCCAAAATAACATTTGCCCTTTTTGCAGCTGCATTGCATTGTTGACTCATATTTAGCTCTAAGGTCTTTTTCAGTTCTGTTGAGCCACATATTCCCCATCGTGTATCAATGCATTCACTTTCTTTTTTCCTAGGTGGAGGACTTGGCATTTGTCCCTACTGAATCTCATTTTGTTGGTTTCAGCCTAGCGTTCAAGCTTTCAAGATTACCCTGGATCTTCATTCTTTCTTCCAGGGTGTTCACTATTCCACCTGGCTTTGTCATCTGCAAATTTGTTCATCTTTCCTTGCACTTCCTCATCTCAATCATTAATAAGGATGTTGAAGAGCACTGAGCTGGGACTGAACTGTGTGGCATCCCACTAGTTATTTCCCTTGAGTCTGAGAAGGCGCCATTGATGAGCACTCTTTGTGTCTGATTTAGCAGCCAATTTTGGATCCGCCTAACAGTTTTTCCATCTAGTTCACTTGACGCTAGTTTGCTTATCAGGATGTCGTGGGGCACTAGGTTGAAAGCTTTACTAAAGTCTAGGTATTTTATGTCCATTTGGAAGGTTACCCAGTCAAAAATGAGATTAAATTAGTCTGACAGGATTTATTCTTGGTAAATCCATGTTGGCTTTTATTAATCACTGCATTTTCTTCAAAGTGCTTGCAGACTGATTTTTTAATAATTTGCTCCAGAATTTTTCCAGGGATCGATGTCAGACTAACTGGTCTGCAGTTTCCATGTTCATCTTTTTCTTCTGTTTTTGAAGATATGGACAACAACAAATGAGTGAAAACTCTGCCATAATATGACTGCCAAAGGTCTAACACTGTTAAAAACAGCTTTGGACTTGAAGTTGGATCCTGATCTGATCAGGAAACCATGTTGCAAGTCTTGCTGTTCAGGTGCACCTCTAGAGATGTGAATGTTTGCCTGTCTTAATCCATTCAACCCTTTTTGTTTTACTCTCATGAGCCTCTAGCAAACTGCCTATGTGCCAAACTGTGTATATAACTGATAGGGGCCGCCTACATGCCACATGTATTTCCTGTAATTCTAAAGACACTGTCAGTGTTCAAGAGTACATACCCAGCGAACCTGTGTTCACTTTTTCTCGACAATGACTACTCAAAGACCAGATTATCTTCAGTGGCATTATAAGAAAATCACATTTACTTCAGCAGAGCTAACTTGTGGGAAAATCCTGGTTTTGCTTGCTTGGGATGACAGAAGGAAAGAGCGCCACCCTTTATCCCTATCCTTACTCATTTTTTTTTTAATTTTCATTTTTTTGTGAGGGTGCAGGAGGAGATGGGTTTTTTCCTTTTTAAAATATCACCACTCTTTCACCCTTGCAGAACTGAGAGAGTTTTTACATGCACAAAACCAAAATGAGCCTGAAAGGGCCATTTCCCTGCACACATCCCCCTTCCAACTCTTTCAGCTTTTGCCATTGCATTTCCACGTGACACACGTCAATGTTTTCAGCCATGCTGTATTGGTGAGCGTGCGCCCCAAATGTAATACACGTGTTTTGTAGAAACACCGTGCTCCCTCATGAATGAAGAGGCTGCAGGGTATCTCTCACCTGGGTTTGACATATACCCAGGTTCAAAGTTCACCGTACAGTTTTGAAAGATTTGGCAGAAGGAGGAAGTGGCTGAATTATATCCATTCAGATTGCACATCTCTTCAATAAAGAGGATATGAGCAGGGTTCTCATTGCATTAGGAGAGTGTTTGGAGTTGTCCTTTCCACTCAAATATTCTATTAAATAATTATTCAAAAACTTGCTAAATTAATACTAGTGTTAAGGCTCTGTGGTTCATGCACTACAAAGCCATTGCAGAACATTACTGATCACAAGACACATCTGTTAATGTAATAGATGAACTCTATAGTGAACTGGTGTTTATCAAATCATATAAGAATGTGTGTGTTTATTCAACTGAGGTCTGGCTATATGCATCATCTTTACCCTGGATAAAGTGGGATTGTTATGTTTGTGTTCAAATCTCATATGAACTTATGTAGCTAATAGCCTTGTCCCAATATTAAAATAATCTTAAACATGGAGGGGAGATCAACACCAGCTCTGCACCCTTCACCCCCAACCTCCTCATGAAGATTTTTTTTTGTTCTTTTTTATTTATTTTTTATTTTTATAAGCTGCCAAGCAATTCAAATAGACTCTCTAGGTGGCGAACAACAGTAAATATGGCTGGGATATGGCTTTGTAAAAAAAAAAAAAAAAAAGACAATATCTTGTAGCATGTACCTCCTTACATTGTTTACATACAAGAAAGAAACACAAGAATGTAACTGTTAATGTAGCAATTCAGGCTTCTCCAGCCTAAAACCTTCTAGATGCACCTGGAAGGCATCAAGTTCAGGAAGGCTGTACTGATCAATTCATCTATTTTAACATTTTCTGTATCCTACAGTAAGGGGCTTAGGCACCTTCCATTTCTCTGTCCCTACATATTTGTGTATTTCATGTTGAGGTGTGTATTTCAATGACATACATATATTCTTTCACATACATGTCAGCTGGAAAACATTAACCATAAACTGGAAACTGCCTTTCCACATGGCACCATTTATCACTGTGGTAACTTTTATGAGGGTTAGAGGGCTTTTACACTTTGTTTTATGCCCACAATTCATACAGTATCACAACTGGACGCCTTTTTGGCAAGGTAAAATGGAGGTGTGAGGGACCAGTTCTAGGCTGAGACCAAAGCCAGAGAGACAAAGACTTTAAGTCCCTGTCGTCACTCTCCCCATAAGATCTTGATCTCTGTAGTAACATGTAGTCTGACCTTATAAGGTCACACTGCACCACTGTGGGGTTGTGCATAGAATACAGTATTTCAATGGTATTTCAGCCCTCTGAAAACATTGAATCGTACTGGTCGCAGTCTTGCTTCTGAATGAAACTGAGCATGCCTGACATAATTTTGCCAGCAGTTGCAGCTAGGGCAAAAACCTTGATAATGTCAACCCACTTGTGAATTCAAAGAAAGACATCCCCCTTTGACTACCCTGAATAACATACATCAGTAGTTTTTACAATTCTGGAAAGAAATAGATGATGTGTCAGACATTAGAGAAAACAGGGTAAATGTATCAACTTTTGGCATGTTTTAACTTGCCATACCTCTTACAACTTTTATTAAATCTATTGGAGATATTGTGGGCAATTTTAATATATATTAACAATTAACAATATATTAATTAGTTATATTGTGCCTGTTTGAGGTTATTAGTTCAACATGGATCCTTTCTTATGTAGTAGAATTTTGGGGTTTGTAATGATAGACCTGTTCTTTTTGCAACTCACTTTAACTAAACTGATAGTCCTTGCTCTGTTAATGGTCTTGCATGTTAGACTAGCAAGCAGCATTTGGAATTTTCAGTTTGGCAATACAGTCAATGCTGGGTGCTGGGGCATTGGCGACCTTTAAAACTTAAGCAGTTGCTTTATATTCTGTTAGACCAACTGTCCAAGTAGCCCAAATATTCCAACAATATATCCTAACTTTAGTGGCCTTTTCTAGAACTTTCTAGCTCAAACATCTTTAGCAGGAGATGCTAGAATCAAACTAAGCTCCTTCTTCTTGTCCTCCCTCCACACATGTAAGTATTTCACTTACAGCTGAAGTTTCTGCTGACCCTTGAATCAAACAGTGTCCACTATTGGGCATGCTAAACAGACTTACAGGAATTAAATAGGAAAACCAAGAGGGTGGCTTTATCTGTCGGTTGCAGGCTTAATTGCAGTTTGGATGGCAGGAGTTTTCTTTTCCTGTAGGCTTGTCAAACTAGGGGAAAAACCTTACTGATTGCATGCATAGGACAGACGTTCAGTGCCTGGGAAGGCTTGGACATTCCAAGCCTGTCACCAATGTATTGCTCGTGTTTTCTCATGGAGCTACCTGAACATACCTAATATCAGTACCTTTTGCATGGCAATCTCTCCTCTACCCAGAATACTGGCTCTTGCTGTTTCTTCTGCTCCCATAAAATGCACAAACCCACATTAGTTTAATGCTAGCACAAAAGATAAAAATATCAATCAAACCAGCAGCCAGCTCTCAGAGTTAATCTAAACTAGGTCTCCCACCTTTAATGTACACAGAGATTACTTGATTTTAATAGCTGCACAATAGATGGAAATTAAAAAGAGAACATTTTCCCATTGAGAAAAGCTGTACCCATTTAATTTCTGTGGGTCTTGCAGCCATTGAATGTATAGCAGCATTTCCATCCACTCAAAAGCTGGCAACCATCCTTTTCTTAACGCACAAAATCATACCTGAATCCATGTTCTGTTGACAAATCACCAAGGTGCTTGAAGGCAGCTTCCCTCTTCTCTCATGCTGCCCAGTGCCCCCTTTGAGCTGTACTTATACTCCAAACATACCATGTTTATTGATTGTGGAACTGATGTATATATATATAAGGTAATGTTATTCCATGTCAATCAACATAGATTGTGCAACAAAAGCATCATCTGGAAGAAAGCTTCATCTATTGGATGGTCGACCAATGGAACAAACAAACAAATATATGCCAATCATCATCATTATATTGTCTTCTTGTGTTTTCTCTTCCTGACCTCAGAATACCCAACTTTGGTGTCATAATGGAATTGCAGTATCATTTCTGAAGAAGTGGATCGTCAGGGCTCTGCTGCCTTTCTAAATTATGTGTGGTTTTGACATGCACAGCAGTGGATGAGCCCTACTGGAATACCTTCCACCATTTATCACTGTGGTCAGTTTAAAAACGGATGTTTTATTTACTGCTAAAACACTTTTCAGCCTATTTGATTAAAAATATTAACCTGTTCATGCATTATCACTTAAATGTGGTGTAGCGGTGAAGAGTGTGGGACTGGGACTCAGACGACCTGTGTTCGAGTCCCCGCTCAGCCATGGAGCCAACTGGGTGACTTTGGGCCAGTCACAGACTCTCAGCCCAACCTACCTCACAGGGTTGTTGTTGTGGGGATAAGATGGAGGAGGAGAATGATGTAAGCTGCCTTGAGCCCTTTGTACGAAAAAGGCAGGATATAAATCACAATATAAAAATAAATAAATAAAAATAGGAGTGCTAATTTTAGTACTATACTTTCCCCCTTGATTTTATTTTTTAAAAACCCTAAAAGTGTAATGTATTACAAATTTAAAAGATGAGATCCATAAAATTTCTTATAAGACATCTAGGCATGAATGCCCTTTGAGTGGTGTGACACTACAGTAAAAGCAATGAATTACTAGTGACCTTACATTGCTTATTATTCAAAAACCTTCCTTCTTTTTCACACTGATTTATACTGTCCCTGCCTAACCAAAGAATCCATGTCATTTTCTTTAGGATTTCCAAAGCCCACATTTTAATATACCACTTTTTAGGTGAAGTATTTCCTTTCTATTTCAGGATTTGGTATAAGGAAGACATGCAACTGATGCTATATAAAAGAGTATTTTTCACTTTGTTCTTTGGTTCTGCAACCTTCAGTTAAGCGATTAAGCAAATTCTAGGCTTTAAAAGGTATGGTATATTGTAGAACATTACTAATATTAAATATTATTTCTTTCCAAAATCTTCTTGCCTCAAAAAAAAATCCACCAATTATATAGGGCTGGTTTGCATATCACAAATTTGCTAAAGCACAGTACTTACTGGAATTTTTTTCATACAGTAAATTTGTACAGATCTCCCCAAATAGACATAGGTCATGGTCTAGAATTGTTATGGTTTGGATAACCCCAGACTTAGTACCAGACTTGGTAGAAGCTGAAATAGAGGCAAATGTTTGGGCGGATCACAACCCTGTAGCTGTATCACTGAAAGGAACAGCAATGACACCCAGATGGAGCTTAAATAAAGCATTATTAAAGGATAAAAAATTTATAGAAGAGATAAATAAGGAAATGCAAGTATTCTTTCAAATAAATAAAGCTGAAGAAACCTCTTTACAAAATGTCTGGGATACAGCTAAAGCCTATGTCAGGGGATTGATAATATATTCAGCAAAAATAAACAAAAAGAAAAGGCAAGAACGAGCAAAAATAGCAGAGGAATTGATGAAATGGGAACAAGAACTGCAGGAAGATCCATCCAAAAAAAAAATCTTAAGGTCCAAATGAATATTTTAAAGCATAAACTGAATCTCTTGAACACAAATGAACTTACTAAGCAAATGAAATTGGCCAAAGAGAATTTCTTTGAAAACACTAATAAACCAGGGATGGTTAGCCTATAAAGTAAGAGAGAGAGAAGAGACTGATTTTGAAATTGAAGGATGGAGAAGGACGACTACAAGTTCAAAGTATACAAATTAAGAAAATAGCGGAAGGTTTTTTTTTTTACAAAGCTATATCAGAAGGATGAGATCTTAACTGAGAAAGTAAAAGAATACATCCAAAATGGAGATTTACCAAAACTACCAGAGAAATATCAAAAAGTATTGAATCAAGAAGTAACAACTATGGAAGTAATAGAGGCAATTATGTGGCAAAAGAATGATAAAACTCTTGGCCCGGATGGGCTGCCAGCTGAGTTTTATAAATCCTTTGAAGGAGTCTTTGCT